AGGGAATGCTCCAGAAATTAAGTATATGTATTTATATAGGCCAACAAGTGATGGTCCTATTGGTTTCTAGGGTACCAAAAGTAGGACCACCGTGGGTTTGTTAAGGGAGAACATTAGTATGATACCTTTTTTTCTGCATTATAATTTTTTTTTTTTAAATATGCATGTATATTGTAGATGAAATATGTAGGTCTACCATGTATACCAACATTTGTTTGTATGTTGCAAATATGTAGATGTAATCGACAAATTAGAACTATATATAAATATTTAAATATTCCTTGTGAAATATGAGCGTTATTGCATTATAACGATAAAACATTGTCTTGATACAAATATAGTTTATGCAAAGGATTTTTGTTTTCGCTTGATCTAGAAATGAAAGTAGGAATAAGACACAAGGGAAACGTAAAAAATAGTTTCCCTTTCTATAGTTACGTTCCCTCTTATTCAAAAGAGAAAAAAATAATAATAATAACAAATTCATTGGTAAGTAGATTGGTTTTCTTATAATAATGAAATATATATTTGATTACTCGATATTAATTGATTTTCTTGAACCTATAATTATTTGAAACTTGATATGTTTTAGTAGTTGATTGACTTACGTAATCATCGAGGTACATATATATTTTAAACCGCTAATATGATGGTTTTAAAAGGGCTATTGAAAAGTATAAGTTTTGAAAACCCTCACAGATTTATATACTAGACTCGCAATCAATAAAGTACCAAGTTTTGAACTTTAAGAAACAAAATACAAAGAGATATTCATGTTACTGCCTCTAACACATCTCTAAACCAACCTTTTCGAAAACAAATCTGAAATTTTGATTAAAAATAGTAGCGTTTATGTAATTACAAAAACTTAGTGAGCATAATTTGCAATTAATAGCAAGATGGGGGGATGAAAATGGGCAGAGGGTAGAGCACATGTGTAGTACGGTGGCTCACACCAAAAAAGTTGCCAGAGAAACCATTAAGGAAATCGGGGGGCCAGGCAGGGTACCATGACATATTTTTCAAATTAAAAAAAAAAGGTTATTGTTTTAGTTTTATTTTTTAAATCAAAATAAACCATAATGAATAACTTAGAGTTTAGTTTTAAAAAAAAATTTAAATTTTTGCATTTATATCTTTTTTTTGTTACAACGGATCAGTTAGACTATAAGGTGTGGCCACTACATGTTCACTAGAAAAGTGATGTCATCTATGCGCCACATTACCTCTATTTCATGTTCACTAGCTCTAGGAAATGGTTTTCACTCCACATTGTTTATCATTTTTTTTATATTTAGATTAAATAAAAAACATAATTAATAAACATAAATAAATACTTCACATTACATAACTTAAATTACTAAAAAACATAAAAACATAAAATTTCAAACCTAAATTGCTAAAAAACCATAAAATCATAGAAATTTAAACCTAAATGACTTAAAAACCATAGAAAATTAAACATAAAAATTAAAACGTTAAAAACCTAATTTCCATACTTGTCACGAACTTGTTTTTGGATTTTCAGAAACACGACTAGATTTTCCGGGTCGATATCCAGTTGCGGCTTTGTGTTTAAAATTTGAAGATCGGTAAGTGCTAGTTTCCGGCGACGAGCTTCCTCCGTTGAGTCATATTTTTTTTTGTAAAAAACTTAGAGTTTTGTCAAATTTTTCCGCAAATACGTCTTCATTACTCACTTTTCCGCTTGAAGACGCCGCCTTTTTCCCTTTGTCCCTTCCCGGTGGTCGACGAAGTTGGACTTTCGGTGGACCCTCCCCTTCGGTGTCGTCGAAGTCTTCATTGAGGTCGACACCAAAACCCACATCCGACTCGAAAGTTATTGGCCTTTTGTTGGAGCCGATGGTCGATTCCGAATGCGAAGTCTCCGATTTAGGGACCCATTTTGGACCCTTACGATAAATTTCCCACGCTTTTTGGTGGTCGAATGCTTTACCGCTGTTGGTGACATTGTATTGTTGGCAAGCGGTTGATAAAATATTGAAATTGTTGCTATCACTATTATGCATATTTTTCAGATTTTCAAATATGTCGTTAAACTTGGTGCAAGCCGCTCGTAGTTCACGCCATTTTCCATTGACCGCGTCGTACGTTCGACCCGTTTGCCTTCCCAAAAGCGAGTGAAAGTGATCTAAAACACGAAGCCAAAAACTATTTCCCGTTTGCACGTTGTCCGTCCTCGAGTCACACCATATAAAAATCCAAGCTTTAACTAAAGCTTCCACCTCATATTCGTTCCAAGTCGTTCCTCTTTTTTTTGTAGCTTTTCTTTTTGGTTGCTTTCTTCTAGATGGTTGCGTTTCTTCGACCCGGTCGTCGTCGTCATTGTCCAAGTTTATAGGTGGGGATTGAGATAAGGGACTTGAGATGGTTGTGATTGGAATTGTTGAAAACCTTGGAAGTTGGGTTGATTAAATTGTTGTGGTCTTTGTTGTTGGAAGTAGTTTGGTTGATATGGAATGTTGGTAAATAGAGGTTATTGTTGGATTGGAGATGTTAACATTTACATGTAACCTTGATATTGATCATTTGGAGTGTTTGGGGTTATTGGAGTGTTTGGAGTTGTTGGAGTATTTTGATTTTGCTCCATACTTTGAGAAAAAAAAATGAGAGAATAGAAATATATTTGAATGGTTTTGTGGTGTTAAATGATATAAAAATGTTGGAATTTATATGGTTTAGTTTAAAGTTTAAAAAATGATTTTTTTTTACATTGTTAACGAGTCAATTTTTGACCGTTTGCATATATCAATTCCTATTGGGCGTAACAGGTATCAATCCACACCACATTTACGGGTGAGGGGGGCGGTGTTCATGTGTGCCATCTCACCCTTTACGCGTAAAAAAGGGCGCCATACCACATGACCTTATTGATTTATTTTCCGATTTTTTTTGTTTTAGGGAACTAAATATGTTTTTTTTTTCAGTAATTAAGACGATACTACTAACTATTGATTAATAAGCTAAACAACAAAGTCTAATAACAAACGATTTGATTTGTATATTAAGACATTTTTTCGGTCTTTTTTTAGAAATAATTTGTTTTTTTGGCTCCAGTTTGTTATTTTGGTTTTTCACACTCCATAGTAAGTTCTCTAACTCATTTTTAATATAATTTGTAGATGGGAAAATGTATGAATTTAATAAACTTTGTAAAACATCAAGCCATTATAAATATGGGTTAAAGCAATATGGTTAATTCTTCAACTATCATAAATTCTAATTTTATATTTAAAAGGGTAACTTAAAAAACAATAATGCTGTTTTGAAATGTTCAACAATAGTTGTTAGGTTTGTACCTTTTCAATACGATCACAATGATCTGTAAGGTATTCTCAAAAGGACACCTGATTTGTACTCACTTACTAAAATGCAAACTGTATTTCTTTTTTGTTATTTCTTTGATAAATTATATTAAAGAAAAAATGTTTCCTAAATTATATTAAAGATAAATTATATATATATATATATATATATATATATATATATATATATATATATATATTCTCTACAAAAGTTCCAAAGTTTTGAAAAAAATAATGATTAAATTTGTTTTTTTTAATAAAAAAATCCAGAAAACCGGCTAATGTTTATAATTTGACCCTAAATGAATTTTCAGCAGGTCAACTCCTGATGTGGAGTGCCAAGGTGAAAGGATGGGTGATTTGACAGCTGCGGTGGCATGACACGTCAGCATAGTAAGTTGAAAAGAAAATAAATCGCAAGCAGAGAAAGAAAAAGAATGGAAGAGAGGTTGAGAACTCGTGACCTCCAAGCTTGGCTTGCACACGCGCCTTACCCGCTATGTTGTAGGCGTTTGTGTTAAATAAGGGTTGATTTCGTTTATATATATATATATAACACTGAACAATAAATAAAAAAAATAGAGGACAACAAGCTTCGAACTCCAAACCTCCAACTCCAAGACCAAACATCTTAACCATAAAGCTAGGAATTAATCTTATTGCTCTTATTCAATAACCATAAAAAGAATAATAATAGAAAAAAATAAAATAAAATAAATTTTCGTGGCAATGAAAAAAAATCAAAGGATAAAAGCCTTTTTAGGCTTGACATTTCCCAAGAAACTGTCGTTCATAACTTGCCAAATCTCCCACCATTTATCATTTTCTAGACCACAAACTTAAGATCACAGTTATGAAGTGCATGATCGTCATTTTATGATCGTCATTTTACAAGTGACGTATAAGCCTAAAAAATTCAAATTTTCGAATTTAATAAAAAATGAAACTTTTTATTTTACAAACTCATATTTTTGTAATTAAAAAATTAAAATTTTAAAGAAATCGAATTTTCAAAATTTAGAAAGAGTATAACTTCATGTATTTGCAGATGCATATATGCATACTTCGGTACTTCCAAAAAACATATATATGCATATTCTAATAACAAACTGTAATATACATGAATCGTCCCTTGTACAGATGTCAAAAGGAACGTTCAATCTTTATTTTCAAAAACTAACTCGATCTATCCCTCGTTCGGTTAAAAGTTGTACATGTCATCACTTTTTAATTTAAATTTGCACGCTTCATCCTTTGCGAGACTTGAAATGACTATTCAGCCTTTTTTTTTTCTTAAAATTATCTATAATAAAAAAATAAAATAAAACACCCGACCCCACCTTATCCTAACCCCTTCCCTTCTAAACCCACTCCCCCCCCCTCAACTCTTTGATTTACTCTTTGATATAGAAAGGGGATGTAACACCCATTTTTCAGATTGGTTTAGCTTGGCACTTAGCAAGTTCAAAGATGAAGTTTTTGGGAAAAACTTCATGCCACGACGTGGCAATGTTATTCTGAAACACGCGTTTTTGGTGGGCTCCACGACGTAGCAAAGGATGGCCACGGCGTGGTAGCTGCCGCAGCACCAGAGGCGGATCTGTGTGGTCGCCTGGGGTAGCCTATGCTACCCCTAAAAAATTCCCAAGCAATATAAGAAATTAAGAAGCGGAGATGCCTACGCTGGAAGAACACATTTGTGCTACCCCTAACAAATATGATGTGCTATTGGTGAAAAAAGCAGGGAGGTACAATGCAGAGGATGAAGAGGTAATGAAGAAGGTGGAGGCGCAAAACGACCTCGAGAATTACACTTACAACATGAGGAACATGGTGAGGGATGAGAAATTTACGGCGAAGCTAACGGCGGAGAATAAGCAGAGCATTGAGAAGGCGGTGGACGATGGGTTGGTGTAGCTGGAGAAGAATCAACCGGCAGAGGTGGACAAACTAGAGGATAAATTGAAGGAATTGGAAGGGAATGGCTCACGGTGGTGCCGGAGGTAGCGGTGGTGTTGGGCCAAAGAATGAATAGGTTAATTAGGGTTGAATGTCGATGGTGGAGGAAGCTTGAAGGTGTTTGCGTATATTTTGTACTCTATTATGTTCTTGTTGATGTAACGCGATTGAGTTTGGACCCTTGATTTCTAAATATAAATAGGGTTTGGACGCTTGGTTTCTAAATAAAAATAGTAGTATTGTGTGCATTGGCTTTTGTACAATTTGTTTTACTTTGATACTTTGTCAGTTTTATTGATAATTGATTTTATTATTTTGTTGTAAAAATGGCTTTGTTATAATCACAAACGAATTTTTTATATCGATTTATATTTTAATTCAAACAATAATCAATGTATGACTTGAAATAAAATTAAATATTTTATTAAACATAAATATATTAATTGCTTGAATTTTCAGGGGTTTCGATGTCATGTCGGATTCGTGTCGTGCCAATACATTAAACGGGTTGAGAGGTCGTGACCCTAACCCGACCTGTTTAATTATCATATTGTGTCATGTCAACCTGTTTATTTTCGTATTGAGTTTCGGGTTAAGGTTTATACCTTGTAAATATGTTTATACAAGTCTATAATATATAATATATTTATATAAACCAAACGTGTTTAACCCGAACCTGAAAAAATCATATTATATAAAACGGGGTAAAAAAATTGTGCTACCCCTTAACTCTTGTGCTGGCTCAGCTATTGCCCAAAACCTGGGATTTTTAGGGTTTCACGCGTATATAAACACATTAACTCCCATTCTAGGTCATCTTCCTCAGCCTCCATCACTCCCAATCCCAAAAACCCTAACCCTAATCGATTTTGGTGATTCTTGGCTCATTTTGACACTTTTAGTGGCTTGAAGAAGAAGAAGAAAGTGTTCTAGTGTGTTAGTCCAGCAAGCAAGCCTCATCATCCTTCTCTTGTGCATCCTCTCACCTTTGTAAGTTTCCAAGTGTTGGATTAGGTGTCTAAGTCAATAACTAAATTGCTATATACTTGAATTATTAACAAAGTTGCCCTCAAACCTGATAATTGAATAAGATGACTTTTAGAGAGAGAGAGAGAGAGAGAGAGAGAGAGAGAAAGAGAGAGAGACTAATTTATTATATGATTAATAAATATATCAATAAATGATTTGTTAATATATTATAAAAATAATAGATTAATTAGAAATAGTATTATTTAATTAAGAATTAATCAGAAATTAATTAGAATTAATTTTGAGATTAATTGGATTAATAAAAAGTGTATGGACCTAAGCTATAATTGTTCAATAGTTGAACAAGAGAGGGATTCTACAATAGTCCTAGGATGGACGAAAATTAGAGGCTTCCTTAGGGTTCTAGAATATGCTTTGGAGATTATTAGGAAACCATCTAAATACTTGATTTGAGATATTGTTATTTTAATCAAGTAAGGGTTATCTAGGGTTTTCCTATCAGCTATAAATATGGACCATTAGCCTGTAGTTTTCGGCCAATTTATTCTAGCTAAGAGCCATCAGAAATTTGTTCCTCCCATCTCTTCTCTTCAAGTTTCCTAGTTGCTAGGGTTTGGGTGTGAATCATCAGAGGCACGAGATTTCAGGTGCTAGCTTCCAAAGGCTTTTCAAGAAGGATTGTTTGATTGTTTACTACAACAATCAAAAGGTATGTAGTCTTCTATGAATTTCGAAATTAGCTAGGGCTATAGGGTTCTTGTCGTTTAATAGAATGTTACTTAAATAGTGTTATGACTAGATCTAATAGGTTGCATGTACCCTTAAGAGTATAAGGATTTATTCGTGTTATTTCATGTAAAACTCATCAGTGGTATCAGAGAGTATGGTTGTCTAACAATTGAGAGTGCATTGCTTGAACTTGAACAAAACCCGACTTGGAAATTGGCAGAATCATCATTTTATCGCATCACCACATCGTGATCCACTTCTGCCACGACGTGGGGATCTTCAGATCCACATTTTTCTTCATTCTGCCATGACGTGGTGAACCCTCTGATCAGCGAAATTTGTTTTTTGCTTGATTCAAAAATTGATTAGGATAATTACTTTATATAATGTTTTTAATTGTATAAAACTAAATAATTATCTTTGTAATCACATATCCTATATCTTGAATTTGTGAATTATCGCTATGATTTAATTAAATTTAATTATATGATTAATTAAAAGATAAAGATTAAAATCATAATTGGTTTATTTTTAAATTATATTAATTTCGAAAATTTAAAATTAAACCTAGTATTTTAGAAAAGTTTTAAAATACACCTTATACTATATGTATAATTAAAAGTTTAATATATATATATATATATATATATATATATATATATATATATATATATATATATATTATATATATATAAGACAAAGTCAGTCAAATCAATAGTAGGTCTCATTCACGAAGACATACTATAAGAGGAGTTTAAGGAAGCGGCCTATAAAATGACCGCCATTGGGTATCCACTCTTACCCACCGCTCTCTTGTATGGTGGAGGGTCGTTAGCCGAACGAGTTTAATAGGAAATAATCTCATTAATAAGTATAATGATATAAAGTAACTAAACTATTTTTGAAAAATCTCACTCTTAGTTACTTTAGGAAAAATGTGAAAAGTATGCTAGTCCATAAAATAGCACATTATGCTTTCTACGTTGTTAGTGGAGCATGTGTGGTTAACCGACACACTAATAGTAACTATAAAGAGTAATAATGGGCATCTCGAAAATTATCATTGTTAATGGAGCGCGTGTGGTTAACCGGCACATTAATTGGAGATGATAAACGACATCGGGAGTGCCAAGCATATTTGTATGGTTATTCACATCTTGTTTGTGAACATCGGCATCACAGTCACAAATAGAAGAACATAATTTGAGATTAAACATGTCATTGATTGATTCAATGAATCTCAAAAGATCTAGGTGTTTCATAGTTCGAAATTGGTGAAATGCTTTTACCTACCTTCATAAATTCACGATAAGATTACGATATCCCTCTTCATAGTTGTGAATTGTTATTTTGGATCCTAGACTTAAGTATTGATTATGGGTTAAAATATTAAGAGTTATTGTCATCTAACTAAAACTATTTCCTTTTCTCTATAGATGTCTACTTCTAGTTATGCTTCTGCTCCTCAAAACTCTTCCCACAACTTTTCGCTTGTCTCGATCGTGTCTAAGGTGACATTGGATGGCACCAACTACAATTATTGGATGCGCAATATTAAGATGGCTCTTTGATACGAGGTCAAAGAGTATGTCCTTGAGAAACAACTTATCGAGATCGATGAAGCCACTGCTACTCCTGAAGAAATAGCCTCCTACAAGAAACACTATGACAATGCGACCAAGGTTTCTTGCATCATGGTTGCCACCATGATACCTGAGTTGCAAAAGTTCTATGAGGACTACTGGCCATACGAGATGAACTTGGATCTTATGGAAAAGTTTCACAAAAGAGATCGTCAAGAAAAGTATGAAGTTGTCAAAGCTCCTATGGCTTGCAAATTGAAGGAAGGAGAGTCTATCTGCAACCGCGTGCAAAGAATGCAAAGATACATGGAGCGTCTTGGAAGACTTAATGTGAATTTCAATGAGGATTTTGATGGGTTTTGAGCATTCTAACACTCCTAAGGTGTACATGCAACCCTAGAAACATTGGATCTATGTTTTCTCTATTATACATGCAAACTTTCATTTTTCCAAGGTTTCATCCTAACTAGCATAAAATGGAGTATATGTAATACAAAAACTAGTAGAATGACATACCTTTTCTTGTTTCTTGATTCCTTAAGCCTTTAAGAGCGTAGCACCCCAAATGTGATGCCTCAAATGCTTCACACAACACCACCAACAATTGGAAGGACTTGAGAAGGGATTGTCTAGCACCAAATTCGGCTATAGCTCTCTAAGAACACTAGGGTGCCGATTTTGGTAGCCTAGGGGCTTCTTATATAGTCTAGTGGAATTAGGGTTACACCATGTAAGCCTTAATAGCCATGACTTTCCACATTCCTCATGCTTCATGGGTTTTAACCTCCATGGAGCATCCATGGGTCACCACATGGGTTTAGCCCAACATAAAGGATTATGGATCATAAGCCCAGTATATAAGAATGAATGATTTACACAATCAATCCCCATTTATTTAATTAGTCTCTTTTGATCACAAAATTAATTCCAAACTAATTCTTGATCAATACTAATTAAATAATATGATTTCATATTAATATATTAGAACTTATAATATATTAATAAATCATAAATATCCTCTTCTCAAAAGTCCATCCTTACAAATTGTTCCGGTGCCATGAAACCCAAATGGACCATGCTACTCTCGGGTCAAGTACATACCAATTATAGTTATGGGCTTAGACACTAAATCCAACAGATTTGGCCATAGACATGGTTCTTAACTCCTTGCCACCTTGATATGATCATTTCATTTTGGCTTATCATTTGAACAACACAGAGACCACATTGGTCCAACTCTATAACCTGTTGCAAACGGCTGAGTCAGGACTAAAGAAGAATCAAACTCCTAACTCTACTAATGCTCCTGTCCTTTCCATTAGACAAAACAAAGGAAAGAAAAGAAAATGTGCTTCTAAGCAGAACTAAAAGGTCAATGCCAATCTTGGGTCGTCTACAAATGGCCCAAATACGAAGCCCAGTTCTAATATTCCTTCTGTTAGTGACCCTAAAGAGGTCATTTTCTTCTATTGCAATGATAAGGGCCATTGGAAACGAAGATGCCCCAAGTACTTGAAAGACATCAAGGATGGCAAAGTGAAGCCATCGTCGACAGGTATTTACACTATTCAAACCAATAACGCACAACCTACTCGTTCTTGGGTCCTCGATACATGATGTTTTTTTCGCGTTTGTTCTGATTTGTAGTGACTAATT